CATTCCTGAGAATATCTTTCTTTGCCTCTGCACATGAAGTATATCTTACCCCATGTAAAATTCAGGATGAGGGGGTAAGCAATCCTCAAATGTAACCCCTCACCCTTAATTCTGTAAAAATGGATGCCAAACCTGTTCCAACCTGACCATCCCTTCTAATATTTAAGTGCTTGAGTGTTCTCTTTCATGCTCCCTTGCTCTCCCTCTCTCCTCTCTCCTCTCTCTCTCTCTCTCCTATTTTCTTTAGTTTTATCTTTTTAAATTCTGCTTTTCCAATACTTTGGCTTCTTCTTTGGGACATTTACTTACAAACTGGGCCTCTAGTCTCTGTCCTCTAGACCTAATTTTCTCTCCCACTAGTTTCCTCTCTGCCTTTTGGAACAGCTTCCAAATTTCTCCATATCATCAACCAAGTCCCTTCCTACAGAAGGAATTGTCCTGTTTTACTATTATAATTACATCTTAACTTTTTTCATAAATTTTCTTTCTTGAACTTTCAATCCTCCTGCTCTAGACTCCCAAGTGCTGGGAGTCATACCACCATGACTAGCTATCTTATTATATCCTGATGACAATTCCTAAAATACACTTTTTGTTTCCAGTGGCAATCATCATCTTTTTTTTTTTTTGCCAGTCATGGGGCCTGAGCTCTGGGCCTGGGCGCTGTTCCTCAGCTCTTCAGCTCAAGGCTAGCACTCTACCACTTGAGCCACAGCGCCACTTCTGGCTTTTTCTGCTTATGTGGTGCTGAGGAATAGAACCCAGGGCCTCATGCATGCAAGGCAAGCGTACTACCACTGAGCCACCTTCCCAGCCCAGCAATCATCTTCTTAAGCTTGTTCTTCCTCCCAACTTTCAGAATACATTCCCTTCTACTTAGTTTGCAGAATGTGTTGGGGTCTCTTGTTCATATTTGCCAACAGAAAGAGTACATAGGTTAATTACCTTTGGTTATATTCTCAATGGGTAGCATGGCCTTCTCAGAGCTACAACTGGCCAAAAGGACATGCAGAGCCATAATGTAATTGTCAATATTACTGGCAGGCTTTTATCTCATATAGGTTTATGAGGCTGAGATCAGATCATCCCCTAATCCTCATGACCTGATTTTGACCTCATTCTTGGGATCCATAGTAAATACAGACATATAAAACAGTACCATCTATTGGTCATACCAATAGTAAGATTCATTCTACTTCTCAGGACTCAATATCCCCTAACTGCCTCCTATATCCAAACACAAACATATACCCAAAAACTACCATCCCCTCTCTAGTCAAGAATATATTAGAAATCACAGCCTCCACATACAAAGTAAAAGATAGAACATTCTACAGAGAGTGCAGCTGAACTACTCAACTTTCTGACTGAGGCAAACCTTACATTTCTGAAGGAAAGACTGCCTGTGGAGAAAAGACATGACATTCTATCTGGGTCCTAGGTGTTTCCTTTAGAGCCACAGAATAATTGTAATGTTTCTTTCAAGAGGAAGACTACTGCGGGGTACTGTGGCTCACAACTATAACCCCAGCTACTCAGGAGGGTGAGATCTGAGGATGTAGATGTGAAGCCAGTTCAGTCAGACAAATCCAAGAAATTCTTATTCCAATTTATCAGCAAAAAAACAAAAGTAGAGATGTGACTCAAGTAGTATAGTGTCAGCCATGAGCAGAAAAAGTTGAGTGAAAGCATAAGGCCTATGGTTCAAGCCACTGTTCAAGCCAAAAAGAGAAAGAGGAAATTTTCAAGTGGTGGACCTTTTTTGCAAGAGGGACTTAAATATCATATCCATCACTCAGTGTTCTTAAGGATAAACAAGCAGAATTTGGAATAAATCTATTAAAAGCACCCTATACTACCTCACAATGCTCTCAAATGAATACTACAAACTGCAATAACAGTGAATACACTCTGAGTCAACAACTCTATTTACAGAATAGAAAATGGGACATCACCAACCTACCACATATATTCTTTTTCACAGCTCTAGTAACCCCTGATTAATGACCTCCACTTGCAAAGGAGGCTACTTACCTTAACCATGAAATAATGAATGTTATTGATCCAACAAGCTACTGTTATAGAATGTTATTGATTACCCAATCTTTGGTTAAAATGGTCCTCATTTAGCAATTTCACTGTCACAAACACCTGGAGCAAGCACACTCATAATTAAAGAGTTTGGGGGAGTTAGAGTGAGAGGTGATGGACAGAGATCTCAGCATTCTCCCATTTATTCTTGCTTCTGAGCTATTGTTTGTGTCAGAAGGGACATTGATTTTCTATAAAAATAAGAAAACAAGAGGCACCAAGGGGCCGCAGAAGGTCAGCCTGGGCTGGAAAAGGAGGGGGGAAGTTTAGCACTCTATCTCTGTCACTTGCCTTCCAAGAGAAGGGAATATTTTCTTTCCTCTGAGATCAGCCTCTAATACATCACCTTAGGAAGGTTCCTGAATGTGACTTCAGACCCAACATCCAACCAATTCACTTACAGAAGAAAAAAACCCTGAACTATATTTAAAGAGAACAATTTTTTAGTGAATAGAGCTATGCACCTAATTAATAGCAGCTAGTGAGAAAAATTTGAATAAATTTTCTAACAAAAATTAATTTTGCAAGAGTTGTCCCATTTTAGAATATTCACGTACAAAGAAAAAGATTAAAATAAAAGTTTGATCTTTATGTAGATATTTTTAAAAACTACTGTATCATACCCACTTTTGGTTCTTCAGAAATATGAGGGATTAGTTGGTAAAGAATTAAAGGAAGAGGAAGTGGCGCTGTGGCTCAAGTAGTAGAACATTAGCCTTGAGCTGAAGAGCTCAGAAACAGCGCCCATGCCCAGAGTTCAAGCCCCATGACCAACAACAACAACAACAACAACAAAGAAAAAGAATTAAAGAAACAGAAAACAAAAAGAAACTCATGTGTTTTTGTTTTGTTTTAAAGAAATCCTATCCACTGACTAGGCTAAGCAATAATCAAATTCCGATCTTTTTTTCTTTTCTTTCCTTCCTTCCTTCCTCTTTTCCGTTTGCTAGTGGTAGGGTTTGAACTCAGGGACTTACATTTGTTCGGTTTACTTGCTTGAGTAAAGCAGGACTACTTGAGCCACACCTCCAATCTGGCTTTGTTTGTTGGTGGTGGTGGTCTAGCTTCAAACTGCCATTCTTTAGATCTCAGCCCTCTTGAGTAGCTAGGATTACCAACTTGAGCCACCAGTACCTGACTCTTATATTTTAATATGGTTTGTGATTCGGATAATCCTCAAATTACTGATAAAAAGTAAAATTCAACACTATGATCTGTATGAAAATAAATTAAAATAACCAAAAGGATTCTTGAGAATGCTGATGGGGTAGCTCAAGTGGTAGAGCACATTATCTAACAAGCATAAGGCCAAGGGCCTAAATTCAAAACACACCACAGAGAGAGAGAGAGAAAGAAAGAGAGAGAGAGAGAGAGAGAGAGAAGAAAGAGGGAGAGAGGGAGAGAGGGAGAGGATTCTTGAAAGGAATTCCTTTAATACAGAGAGGAAAAAAGGTAGAAAATTTTGCCAGAATCAACTCAAGAGGGAATAATATCCAAATCACAAAAACTATTATCTATTTATACTCTACTGATAGCTCCACTTATAAGTTTAACAGTTGAGAACAGGGCTTGCATGTACCTCAGTGGTAAAGAACTTGCCTAGCATAAACAAAGTTCAAGGGTTAATCTGTAGCCCTAAGGACTAAAAAGAAAGAAAGAAAAGTGTGTGTGGTATAAACTGGTATAAACCCAGCACTCAGAAGGCTGAGGCCAATGGAACAAGTGTTCAAAGCCACAGCTAGATGCAGGTGGCTCACACCTGTAATCCTAACTACTCAGGCTGACATCTGAGGATTGCAGTTTGAAGCTAGTCCAGGCAAGAAAGTCTGAGACTCTATCTCCAATTAACCACCAGAAAACAGAAGTGGCTCTGTGGCTCAAAGTGGTAGAGTGCTAGCCTTGAGCAAAAGACCTCCTAGACAACATGTAGGCCAAGTTCAAGCCCCATGACGGACCAAAAAAAAAAAAAAAAAAAAGTGGAGGCTTATAAACCTACACAGGTTATCCTGTTATTGGCATAGCCTCACCTCAGAGTGCCTAACACTTAGTCTTTGCTTTTAAGACAACCAATAGGAAGTCCTAAGAAAAGTCATACATTCTATAGTTGTAAAAAAAGAAAAAGAAAAAAAGAAGTTAAGACAGAAAAGGGTCATGGAAAAGCATAAGCAACAAAACACAGTAAAATATTATCTTTGAAATCAGGTTTGAGACTCAATGTGATCACTGGATAACCTTGGGAAAACTGTCTAAATTCTCTTAACTTCAATTTCCTCATATAAAATACAAATAGTGGAACTGTAAATATTAAATAAGAGTAGTCATTAAGCACAGGATACAGTGCCTACCACATATATACTAACCTCACACAGTACTTAACAAACACCAAGCACTATTAAAACTAATACAATGGTCTCAACCAGAAATACTCAAAATCCATTTGCAGGCTGTCTCTGGAGGCATTTAGGTTGAAACAATGAAAAGGAACAAAGTAGAGAGGCTGAATATCCTGTAGTGAAAGGGCAAAAGCGGCTTACCAAAAAGGTTTATTTACAAACTGCCAGACCTGGCAACTATGCATTTTTTTTCCTGGTTCTAAAGAACAGCATCATAGGTAAGAATGAACTACATAATATAAACAGCAGCAAACTGTTTCTTAAAATAAAATTCTTTGTTTTGCGTATGAGGTACATATTTAGGTCATTTTTAGAATCACACTGTTCCTATTATACATAGTGTTCTTGACACAGGGAAATTAGATTCTTGCAGAGGCTGACTACTGGGTAACTAAAGGCAGGCTACTAAAGTAATACTAGAGTGAATGCTTTGGAATAAAGTGGGACCCATTACAAGACTATGGATTTTCACGTTGGTATACAGGAAAACTTTTGACCTAGGAAGGGAGATCTCACCATTCTGACATGTTCTCATCAGAGCCCTGTTTCTGTTCATCAGCTTCACACTCCATCCTTTCTTTTCTTCCTGTTTTGCTTAGGAAAGTCCTACTTTCTGCTGATTCACACAACCCATGGCTTGATGAGGTCCAGGGAGTATTCTCCTTCCAGCGGGACAGGCGCTGCTTCTTAGCAGACTTGAACCTGCAGCCTCTCTCATAGCTCCAATCTGACACCTTCAACTTCTGCTGAAGGCTGGCAGCTACTTCTGATGTCACTCGCTTCACCTTCCGCCGGCGTCTGAGTGGTCGACAAGGTGCATTTTCAGTAAAGGAGTCAGATTCATGCCAAGAATGTTGCTTACTCTTAACTAGGGCATTGAGAGCTGGGTGTCGTTTGGCCACCATGGTATCATCTGAGTCACTGAAATTGGTGGCTGGGGCCACTTCTCGACAGTCCTTGATGGTCTCATCCAGACTTGACTCCGAGGCCTCACTGTAGCAGCAGGTATGCTCCGCCAGGTGAGTAAAGTCAGACCTGCGTTTCCGGCCTCGGCGCTTCCGAAGCTGCCGCCTCTGTTGCCGGGGACTCAGGGTCATCTCCTCCCACAGCTCACCAAGCTTATGCTGCTCAGATGTCTGCTCCAAGGCTGAAGCTAGATCATGTACCAGCTCATCCATGAGGCCACATCTGCCAAAAAGTAAAAAGGGAAAGTTCATAAGTGAAAAAGAAAATAGGAATAGGATCTGCTGTTCTCCAATAATTTTATAGAGCAATCATGGCTTTGCACAATCCTCCCAGTCTACAGAAAATAGACACCTTTCATCTGACTACAATTAACACACTGTTCCTACCACCTATGTTCTCTTAAGCCACTAAAAATAGAATCTGGCTGAAGTCAACATGCCCTGAAGTACACAAAGTCAACCACTTAATAGATAACAACTACTACTGTATCAGCAAAAAAAGGGAATAGGGCTTTCTCTTTTTTCCAATTAAACTTGTCATTGAATTAGCTGATGATAAAATCCAAAAAGATTAGTAAATGCGCAGAGAAGAAGAGAAAATCACACAGCTCTAAAACCATAGGAGCACTGGGATAACAGGGTGGGACTCAGTCACACTACAGTATTGACAATGGATGAAGGACTGCTCTGTTGTCCAGAATAGCTAGTGAAAATAAATATATGTGGCAGAGAACAGAAAGAGAACTTAGTGATAAACTTTGGGGAGGTTGGCTTTAAGTATTACTGACCCAAGTTCTTTCATGACCCAAGTTTGTATACAGGAAAAAAAAAAGCCAAAGTTTGATAACATCCTAGTAGCAACTGTCATCTGAAAGTTACTAGAATTCAAACCTTACAGAATGTCATTTATGTTTCAATAATTGGCAATTTTTAGTCTCTTTTCTTCATTCTGATCATCCTAATTATGTGCTTTAGGGTCTCACAATCACATAAAAATAGAATATAATGACAGGGACATGGGAAGTCTAAGATTTCTGGCTAACTACTTTCTAAAATGTCCTAATCATTTCCTTTAAAAATCTCTCTAGGCGCCAGGCGCTGGTGGCTCACATCTGTAATCCTAGCTACTCAGGAGGCTGAGATCTGAGGATCGCGGTTCAAAGACAGCCCGGGCAGGAGAGACCGTGAGACTCCTATCTCCAATAAACCACCAGAAAACCGGAAGTGGCGCTGTGGCTCAAGTGGTAGAGCGCTCGCCTTGAGCTGAAGAGCTGAGGGACAGCGCCCAGGCCCAGAGTTCAAGCCCCACGACCGACAAAAAAAAAAAAAAAAAAAAAAATCTCTCTAGGCAAACTAGAACATTCTCCTCAAACTATTACATTTCAGAGGCAAACCTTTCAAGGAATATACACTAACAAGGAATATACACTAACAAAATATACACTAATTAGTACTTTTTTCCAAAACTCTGTTGAACCTAAAGTATTCATGATCATAATGAGAGCTTAAAGCTGTATGTGACACTTAATATAGTTCACATGTTGTAAAAGGTTTTCCTTCATGTGTGCAGTACTGGGAGTTGAACACAGGGCCTTACACCCTGCTTGTGTGCTCCTGGATGGCCTCTACTACCTGAGCCATGCTTCCAGTCTGGCCTTACTAGTTAACTGGAGATGCAGACTCCAGAACTTTTGAATTGCTTTGAATTGCCATCCTCCAGGTCTTGTCCTCTGGAGCCAGGTGTGAACCACTGGCACTCTGTGCAAAAGGAGTTTCTGAAACTTTCCCGCCTTGTTCCTATGTCACTCAATTCAAAGACAAGTCCTCTGGTTTATATGTCACACTTGTGGACACACCGAGCTCCAAAACTGCCACCCAAACAAAGCTCATAATGTAAACACACACACACACACACACACACACACACATATGCCACAACCCTTTAAGCTGTTTAAGTAGTAGTTTAAAGTGTCACGGTTGGGGTTTGGAATCAGCTATCCTTAGACCAAAATAAGTGGGAGCAGTAAGTCTAAGCCTCACTACTCCCTAATAAAGAACTGCTTTTAAAAAACTCGGGCAGAACTGCACAAACTTTTAACGTGGAAGGAGGTCAGCAAGCAAATCGACTGGTTGTGCAGAATCTTTTCTGGCCTCAAAGACTGCAATTCGAAGAGGAGTGACAGGCGAACCCCGGGCCTTCCGCACCTCCAGGCTCGCTGGGGGCACCGAGCGGAATCCCAGGCGCAGGCACAAACCCCCCCCCCCCCACTCCCCTCTCCCACCCCTTCCACCCCCGGGCCGAGAGGTAAGGCTGAGTCACTCCTGGGAAGCAAGTTCAGGAAGTCCGACGCAGGGTCGGAGCTGGGGAGTCGGGGCGCAATTGCTCTTCGGGCAGAAACCGCCAGAAATCAAGTCCCGGCAACATGGCCACGTTAGGAGAAAAACGGTGTCGCGAAAGACTTCATCTGCCCAGCCCTGGCCGGGCCGCTCCCCGAGGGCCAGGAGGACCCCGGCCCGGGCCCCCAAGCCCTCCCGCGGCCGCCAGCCAGAAGGACGGAGAGGCGAGCAGACGAGGGACCGTTGGGCCAGGGGCGACATCAGCGCCCGGGATGAGGGACCGGCCCGGAAACGCAAGGCCTCGCCACGCTCGCCCCTCCCGCCCGCCGCCGCGGCCTCGCCCTCCCCGCTGCCGCCCAGCCTCAGCCCGCGGCCCCGATACCCGCTGCCACAGGCCTGGGACCCCGGCCACCTCAACGCACTCCTCCCCCTCACCCGCTGCCGCCGCCAGCTCCGAAGGGCGCCGCTTTTTGGGCAGAGTCTCCCCGCCGGAGTTTCCCTCTCTGACCTCATTTCCGGTCTGGGCCGGAGGGGCGGGGTGTTGATGGAGTGGGCGGGGCTGAGTGAGTAAACGTGAGACCCGCCCACACCCAGCGCTTCCGCCCCGCAGCACACCCACTTCCGCCCCCATGGTGGGCGGAGCCACGAGGAAATAAGGGAAGGCTCCTGGGCCAGCCAGCAGGCGGGCATGCCTGTGGATGGATGCTGAAGCTGCCGCTGCGGGAGGGCCTTTCTGGGGAGCTTTTAATGAAAGTTGAACCATTGGAAGTAGGGGTGATTTAAAGGATCAGTGTCAGATCACCTCCATGAAGATTTTCCCTCGCTTGCCCACTCCTTTGGCTCCTTTCAACACTTGCTAGAATCTTCATTCCTGCGTTTTCTTCAGCTTCGAATTAGAGGCAGTTATGTGTGAGTTTTCCTCCCCAAAGTAATCACTCATCAGCAAATATTTACGGTGCTTATCCCCGAGATAAGAATATGCACATAAAACAGGCTTTCTCCACTGCCCCAGAGGGACAAGTAATGAAGGCCTAAAGTAATGAAGCCAGATCACTTAACCTTCTCTGCCTGGTGGAAGTGTTTTGTTTTCGGACTTAATAGGAAATGAAGAAAAGCAAGTAATAGTGAAGGTCTAGGCCAAGACTCTTTACAATGCAACTCATTGGAGAACATGGAGAGCAGTGGCAAAAGAGTATCTGGACCTAATTTTGCTGGCGACCAGAAGCAGGCAATAGCGGGGAAAATGAGCTTTCATGAAGCACCAGAGCACCAGGAAAGACCTGCCCCAGAAATGCACAGAAGATTAAGTTCGGTGGTAATATGAAATACAGCCATGTATTGCTTCACAAGAATGATGTATTCTGTGATCTGTGGTTAAGCAATTTCATGTCACCATTGTGTCTGGACACAAACCAAATGGGTACTGGGTGATCACTCCATGTGACCCCAGGACTCAAGCAAGAGATGTAAACAGTAGATGTACAAGGCTGCTGCCACTGTCACTGGGCATACCATTTGACATAAACTTTGTTCTAAATAGAAATAGTATACTATATGGTAACAACAAAAGATACAGGAAACATAGTTATTTACTGTCATTTCAAGATTTGTCTTCTATATAAAACTGGATGTGATATACTTTCATATGACTAGCATAACCTCAAACACATGAATAATCTGTTGCACTACATCTTTGTGATGTCAACAGCACAAAGGATTTTTCAACTTCATTTAATCTTATGGCTACAACCTTACATAGGCTGCATTGTGGGCCAAAACATCATTTTTGTGTGTGTGCCAATACTAGGGCTTGTACTCAGGACCTCAAGATCTAGCTCAGCTTTTTCCAGCTCACACTTTACCACTTGAATCACATCTCCAGTTCTGGCTTTTTTGTTGGTTAACTGAAGATAAAAGTATCTTATATTTGTTTTCCCAGGCTGGTTCTGAGCCAAAATCCTCAGATCTCAGCCTCCTGAATGCTAGGATTCAGGAGTGAGACACTGGCAACTGGCTCAAAACATCATTTTGTGGTGCATGACTATAATGGTCTTTAGCATCATTTTGAGCCCTCAATAGTTATCATACACTATTCTAAATATTAACATGGATTAACTGATTAATTACAGAAAAATCCTATGACTAGATAATATTAATAAATCTTTTACGTAAGTAAGAAAACTAAGGTACAGAAGGGTTAATTAGCCTACTAAGAAATAAAACTAGTGTTGGGCACTGGCTCACACTTGTAATCCTAGCTACTCAAGAGGCTGAGATATGAGGATCAAGGTTCAAAGACAGCCCAGCCAGGAAAGTCTGTGAGACTCTTATCTCTAATTAACCACCAGAACACCAGAAATGTCACTGTGGCTCAAGTGGTAGAGCACTTACCTTGAGCTGAAAAGTTGAGGGCCAGAGTTCAAGTCCTACAATCGACAAAAGAAAGAAAGAGAGAAGGGGGGGGGAAGAAAGGAGGGAAGAAAGGAAGGAAGAAAACTAGTTATCATTTAATCAGGCAGAGTGATCGAGGAACCATACATTCTCTGAAAACTATTGCTAAAGATTGAGAGCATATGCCTAGCATCTTGCATAGCACACATAGGTGATATTTATTGTTATGCATATACTATTATGCAAAGAAAACTATACCATGTATTTACTGGTAAGCCCATTTCACTAATTATCAATCCTTTAATAAAATGCTATCATTCTTATACAGATGCAGAAACTGAAGCTCAGAAAGGTTAAATAGGGTCATACAACAACAGGTGACGACTTAACTATTATCTGAACTAGGCCTCTGATTACAGAAGCTACTCTGTCCTACATGTTTTTCTCTTCATTGAGGAGGTATTTGGCAGGAGTTTCCTGCATTAACATCCATTCGTTACCTCAGTTAAGACATATATGTTCAATACCTGCCATGTTGTAGATACAAAAGATGCATCTACAAACAAGTCCCTGACTTTCCAATTTTTTTTTTGGGGGGGGGTCCAGTCATGGGGCCTGAACTCTGGACCTGGGCGCTGTCCCTCAGCTCTTCAGCTCAAGGCTAGTGCTCTACCACTTGAGCCACAGTGCCACTTCTGGCTTTTTTCTTTTTGCTTATGTGGTGCTGAGGAATCGAACCCAGGGCCTCCTGCATGCAAGGCAAGCACTCTACCACTGAGCCACCTTCCCAGCCCCTTCTTTTTTTTTTTTATCCAAACTTTTTTTTTTCTGTCGGTCGTGGGGCCTGAACTCTGGGCCTAGGCGCTGTGCCTCAGCTCTTCAGCTCAAGGCTAGCACTGTACCAGTGCCACTTCCGGCTTTTTCTGCTTATGTGGTGCTGAGGAATCGAACCCAGGGCCTCATGCATGCAAGGCAAGCGCTCTACCACTGAGCCACCTTCCCAGTCCAAATTCTTAAGGCAGTCTCTCTCTCTCTTTTTTTTTTTTTTTGCTGGTCATGGGACCTGAACTCAGGGCCTGGGCGCTGTCCCTCAGCTCTTCAGCTCAAGGCTAGCACTCTACCACTTGAGCCATAGCACCACTTCCGGCTTTTTCTGCTTATGTGGTGTTCAGGAATCGAACCCAGGGCCTCATGCATGCAAGGCAAGCACTCTACCACTGAGCTACTTTCCCAGCCCCTGACTTTCCAATTCTAGAAAAAGACTTCAGAGGAAGGAGATAAGTAATAAGTGGACCAATACATAAAATGTCAGCTGGTAGAATAATAAAGCATGACAAAAAGAAGGGTTGGAGGGAGACTTACTGTTATTTGTGGTGTCTCTGATAACTATCTGGGCAGGTACTTTCAAGGGAAGGTATATAGTGTTCTATGCAACCATAGGAAGGATAAACATTCTAGGAGAGATGAGAGTCTATGGACTTTCCGGCCCCAGTTGGCTTTAAACTATGATCCTCAGATCTCGGCCTCCTGAGAAGCTAGGATTACAGGCATGAGCTGCATCTCTGTAGCACAATCTTAGCACATCTGGTTGTTAACAGAAAGGTTGGTGATTTGGGCCCAGCCAGGGACATTATTGCAGCATTTTTTTATTCATCAGGCTCTCCCTTGTAATCCTAGCTAGTCAGGAGTCTGAGATCTGAGGACCACACCCAGCCCGGGCAGAAAAGTCTCCCTGAGACTCTTATCTCCAGTTAACTACTCAAACTCCAGAAGTGGGACTGTGGCTCAACTGGTAGAGCTCTAGCCTTGAGCACAAAGAGGCTCATAGCCAGTGTCTAGGCCCTGAGTTCAAGCCGCCCTACAACGAACAAAAAAGAAAACAAAAACAAAAACAGCATGAGCAACTGGCACTCAACCAGCTTACAATGACTCTTTTAAAAATCACCTTCACCAAGACCAGTGGATAGGACTTGAACACATCTTTCAGAGGAACACATGAGACACTGGTGTCATTAATGGCCTCTCTTTGGACACAATTATTCATACTCCTCTATTATGGTTTGAATGTGAAATATTCTCCACAGATTCATGTGTTGAATGTTTGGTTCCTAGTGAATGTCACTATTTGGGAAGATTTCGGAGACTTTGGGAAGTGGGACCTCACTGGAGAAAGTAGCCTGCTGGACCTGCCTTTTTCTTGGGGCAGGGGGTGGGGGGAGTCAGGGGTCAGTTCTGGGGCTTGAACTCTGGCTCTGGGCCCTATCCCTGAGCTCTTCAGCTCAAGACGAATGCTCTACCACTTGAGTCACAGCGCCACTTCCACTTTTCTGGTGGTTAATTGAAGATAAGAGTCTCACAGACTTTCCTGCCCAGACTGGCTCTGAACCTCGATCCTCATATCTCAGCCTCCTTAGTAACTAGGACTACAGGCATGAGCCACCAGCACCCAGACTGGGCCTGCCTTTTGAGGTTATACCTGGTCCCTCATCCTGTCTGTCTGTCTGTCTCTCTCTCTCTCTTTCACTCTCTCACTGCTTCTGTCTCTCTCCACACTTGTCCACTCTGAGGTGAATAGCCTCTACCATATGTTACCACCACTATACTGTTGTTCTTACCATGAGCCCAGAAAATGGATCTAGCCATGATGGACTGAAACCATGACCTAAAATAAATAATTCTTCCCTTTAAATTATTTCTCAGTTATTTCATCACAGAGGCCAGAAAAGCTAATAAATACAATCTTTCTATTATATTTTGGGATGGCATGTCCTAAACTATCAGCAATCCTACATTTTACTTCTACATATTACAAAAATCTTAAACTATGTTATTTTCTGTCTTCAGTAATCAATTATTATTAAAGATATTTTAAATAAAAATATCTTATAGTTTTACAGTTTTACAAATTTTTTGGTACCTTTGTGTGTGTGCATGTGTGTGTGTGTGTGTGTGCGCGTGCGCGCGCACGCATGTGCCAGTTCTAGGGCTTGAACTCTGGACCTCAAGCTTTCATTTTGCTTTTCTGTTCAAGGTTGGTGCTCTACCACTTGAGCCATGCCTCCATTTCTGGCTTTTAGTTAGTTAGAAATAAGAATCTCTCAGACTTGTCTTCCTGGATCGGCTTCAAA